ACTAACGATGTACATAGTACATATTATGTATTTATATCATTATATCCCACAAATCGAATGTTTATCAAAACTTCACCGTATATTATACACAAAAATGTAATTTAGGATTTTTAGGATTTATTGGTGGACTGCAATTTTGACCATTTTGACGTGTTCAAAAAATGCCTATAATGGACTGACTGATGGGTTATCTCTGGACCCTGAGTATGCGAATAATTACTTAACTTTCACCCAAGTCTAACAACGTATATAGTTCAAACTGCGATTGTTCAATAAAAATTTCTGTCACGTGTGTAGTTGAGTGCAACTGCAGTTCAGGGTTCCCAGAGTTTTGTTATTATTTAACAGTAAATACAGAAAAATGTATTAAATTTGAATTTACACATATTATTCAAAATAAATATTATAATATTAAAATTAAATTTTAATCAAAATAATAATAAGTATTTCTGTATTTTACGTAATATGCGTTCAAATAAATGAGCGCTGTTTGATGTAAGAAATAGGTTTTTATGCCAGCCGATGTGAAAATAATCTAACCAAGAAAAGTATTGGGCAATGAATCTTAATCATTAATGTATTATTAATTTAAGTCACACTAATGTTTAGGCAATTTATATTTTTATGACACAACTCATTTRAATATTTTTTGAAATTTAGTTTTTACGTATTATTATTATTATTATTATTATTACTCAACTCATTTGAAATTTTGTTTTTACGTATTGCTATAATGTTTGTACCTATAATATTTAAATCGTCATATTTTTATCCAGATAAATTATTCAAAGTCTAATATAACATGTTATTGATCATTTTCTATGTAAGTACCTTATTGATAAGTAACTAAATGATTTTTAAGTTCAGCAAATGGACAGCTTTTGGTTTTACACAGTAATGTGTATTTTTATTTTCTAAAACGCCTATTAAAGTAATAAAATGGATCATTAACCTGTACTCAGAATAACACTAAGCTATATATTATTTCTTAAAAGTACCAGTAAAATATTTTTCAAAAAAAATTACAAAAAAGTGTAAAGAATCCAACACAATAGATATCATTCGATCGGATATCTCATACATGGTTTTCTCAAATATAAAAGTGTACCTTTTATATTGTATGTATACAACTCTATAGAGTATTGTATCCGTTTTTCACTGTCACGTCCATTTTGGTCATGATAATTTATGAAATTTCGGAGCGGTTGATCCAAACGTTTAGATTTTACAGCTGTTTATTGTTATTCAGCGGTTTAAAATTATTTTTAAAGAAATGACGACACTTTGAAAGGGATATATTGTTTCTACGTTAACCTAACATTTTTGATTTATTGTTATACTATGGGCTGAATACCATGGAATTTTTCACAATTTATTTTTGTAAAAACAATAGTGAATCTAAACTATGTTACAAAAACATTAACTTAGCTCTCATCAAAAAAAAAAAAATTTCGACATTTTTGATAAGTATTTAATATATCATCGAATCACCTTCGCTGAACAACTTCAATAACGCGTTATCCTGCACAGCTCCAGATGCCAAATATATAGACATATCAAGATCTTTAATGGCTGAGAGACCCCCTCAAACCATTTTGGAGAAATATATTTTATGGATCCTCTCAAATCAAGAATCAATTTCATTTTATTTTTTTGTATAAATATTATATGTATATGATATAAGTGGTTATTACTATATTATATAATATTATATCGTACATTAATATATTGTATTTATCATAGGTAATCATATGAACTAATTGTAATTCGGGAACTCTGCGACTCTACAAGTAGATAAGATATAGTTTTTCCCTGTAGTTCGAACGGTTATTAAAATTGTTATCGCCGATGACAATGCATGTGCACTCACAAGAATGCGAGTAGGTATATTATTCAACTATATTATTGTGTGCATATACCAATACCAACTACCTATAAGCTGTAACCTGTACATTTACATGACGTATATCAAATTAAACATATTTTACACAATATTATAAACTAGACCCCGTTCGCGTGTATGCGTGTGTGTGTGTGTGTGTATGCTTATGTTTATATTTGTGTGTATGTATGGGCGCGTACATTCAAATTCACGGTCACACAATGTACTGTCGGACATAAGATATTTATTGTTATTTTCAAGAATGTAATTTATTCGACGTGTATGTATGTATGTATACGTCTATAGGCTTTTCGAGTGGGCGGCTGCCGCGGAATAACAAACAGCGCCTTAGTGGATTTACCTAGTTTTGTTTGTTTTTTTCACTTAGTATACCTATATAATATACACAAACACATACACACATACACACACACACATATATATATATATATATATGTATATATAACCACTGCCCAGTTGAATACGATCATTAATTTGCACGACCGTACGCGCATAATATACGCTTGTACAAGCACAATAGTGATGTAATCCGTGAAACGTTTGACACACGCGAAATCCGAGTCAAATTTCGTGGCGGATAAACGGGCGCAACGTCTCCGCCGTCAATAGACTTAAAGCTGGATTTCTATTCCAATCACAAAACGCAATTTCCGGACATCGAGAGGCGTCGCTGACCGTCGTATATTAAGTATCTTACACCGCAGATGACGATATGTCTACCAAATCAGATGATACCTAGTATGATAATCTGCAGGGACAGTTTTTCCTAACATAACCTAGGTAGAATGCTGTTAAATATTTTCCAACTGATGGGTTGAGTTTTTATAAGAAAAAATGTATAATACAATAACTTATTTTGTATTTATTATAGGCAATTAGATACTTGTAAACTAAATAAAATATTCTTATTATTATATGGCCTCTTAATCTGATATCAGATATTATCAAGCAATGATCTAAAAGAATCAAATCTAAACACTCCTAAAAAATCCGTATCCGTATCGTGTAATTCAAGTTCAAGAAGAGTTCAATCGAATTAAAATATTGATATTTAAATTGAAGTAGGTAGGTCTTATATAAACTAATACTTTATTTTATTTATTTTTTTTATTTTTAATAATTAACACGCAGCAACAAAACTAAACCATTGAGTAGTTAATTTTAGTAGGTTTTTCAACTGTGAGGGAGAGTACCTACGGTTAGCTGGAACGTTTTTTGTATGTGGCGCGAAGATTTGTTGCTAAAAACCCCGGGTGGTCACCCACCCGAAAGCTAGCAACACCGGCTTTTACGTACATTCAAAGCGTTTCCGCAGTTCAGCGTACCTACGAACACGCCACACCAAGCTACACTAATATTATTATAGTTATGATAAGTCTTGGGTAACGATATAAGATGCAATGCTACATAGGTGTAAAACGAAAACGTACTGTTTGAGTCAAACGTGTGAATTACAATATTTGTATGTAAAGTACATGCCTATACCTACTTATTGTTTTGCGTTAATTCTTCACAAAAAGTCGAAGAACACAATAATTAGGTATATACGATACACCTATGACCCGTCTAGGTTCGTYTTATATTATAAGGTAGGTTTTTCAGTTTTTGTTAAATATGTACACGCTAACAATGGAATTATTTTATAATAACTAGATATAAGCATTAGTCTAATGAAAATAACTCTACATATACTTATATTTAATTCAAAAACTAACACACCATTCATAACCAGATATGTGTGCGTAGTAAGTTAGTACCTATACTAGTATAGTAGGCAGTAATCAATTTTTTAATTAAAAACTCAGACAGTCAAGGCATATTATATTAGTATATATACTAATATATATATTATTATTTTATACAGCTATTTAAATTAAGTTATTCCTATGTATGATCTATTAAATGCATCAGTACATTATACTTAAACTTATGATAATTACATAACAATTAACAGTAGAACATTACATAGAAAGTTAATTTTCGTAAACTTGACGAATCGCGCTGAGATTAAAAAAAGCTAAACATTTAAATRCTTAAAAACGTAAAATACWAGAGTTTTTAATTGCACGTTGCACGGCTAATAAAACAAATATATAATAAATAGGTACTACAGTATTAAATATATAGATAGGTAATATTGTACTAATATATTGTGGACTGTAGTTGCTAGAAGATATGCAACTGTACCTCTGTTCATTATGATAAACCGGTTGTATAAATTTTATTAAATGCATAAAACAACTTAATTATTAGTCAAAAGTCGTGTCGTGTGAAATAAACAATTTGTGATTAGGTCACATTTTATATCGACWGGGAAATTATACGATGYATAATCAAATGTATAAATTTACAACGCACACTACACGGTCAAGGAGATAATCTTGAAAATAGATTTAGTAAATTGTATACTTAACAGAGATAATAAGGTCACATAATATGAATTGTTCAGGGTCAATAACTGAAAATACAAAGTAAACACAATGTCAATTTATAAAAATAAAAATGTTCGATGAAAAAATCTTAAATAATACACAGGTATTCATGAATAAAATATTATAATCTTAATATATTATAATAATATAATATACTGAACCTACGTATAATTCATTATCAAACATGTAATACCTAGGTACCCTGCAGTAATGCGCAATATGAATAGTAACTTAAAAATGTACCAAATAGTTTAATCAATAACTTGTGCATTGTACATTCATGGGCAAAAATTTTCGCAYGGACAAAATAGAAATTTATGCTGGGCCCACCGGTGACTAACACTTACTATGTGATATATTACATATATTATGGCCCTATTTTTTATTTCGTTGATTTGGTAAATCAGGCTCTGGTCACATTAATTGTAATACAAAATAAAATTATCTAGCTCTAACAGTAAAATAGTACCTACTTTACCTAAAAATTATAATATCGACCACGAAAAACACGAATACATTTCTAAAATACCTCGGTTTTCATCGAGGACTACGAATAGCCTAATCACATATTATTTAAGTACCTACGCTAAAGTTTATATTTTAAAATACAAAATATTATATAAAACATATTATTTATAGGTATAAGGTAATGTTATTGTTACTACTACCTTGTGCGCGAAACAGTGTGGTTATCGCGAGCTGTACGTCGCCGGCGATTTACTCATTAGTTGACTGTCAGCCAACGGTCACGCGTTAACGATATTGTTTTACGATAGAAGTTATCTATTTTGATTGATAATAGCAGTCGTGTGCTGACTAGTTCGGACTGTAGTGTTTTCTAGGCAGAACCGACGTCGCGACCGGTTAGAAAACGATAATATTATTTTAATATCATAAAACGCCGAAAGTGTTTGTCGCGGTTGACGCTAAACACCAGCTCCGATCGTCGTCGGATCACTGACGCGGCCATGACTGGCGAATCGCCTCCTGATACCGCGTCCGTTCAAACTTAGCCAGGCGGCCACGCCTACCGGTCCAGATAGAACTTAAAATCAGCGACGGATGATCTTATCGTAATAACATCATGTGTTTAATTTGATTATCGTCACTATTATTAATCGTTATTGTTATTTTTTTTTTTTTTTTACCTATTTTCAAACTCGTCATACCGACGTCTGATTTGTACCTACTCTTGTATAGTTTCGGAACGACGCAATTTCTTTGGCACCTCTGTGTTATTTGCGGTCGATCGGTACTCGATTGCAGATTTTGAGTTGGATCGTGCCACATCGACAATAATTGTGGTTTTAAGTCCCATCATTTGAGTGCACAAGAAAATGGGGTTTCAAGCTTATTCGTTCAAAATGGAAGTGGGCGTGAAAATATGCATGTTTTTTACCATTATCGTTATGTGTTATGTTTGTTCGTCTAAATCATTTATATTTTTCTTACTTTATAAATCTACCAAAATATACATTACACATGAACTGTTTGGTACTCTGGTGGAATTTAAATTTTAATCATTATGATTACCTAATACATATAGTTAGTAGTAGTTAGTAGTAAGTATTGTAATCGCTGCTGACTGTTGAATTATGGATTTCATGTTTTGATACGTAGGTGTTGATTGACCTTGCGCAAGTCGAGCGTCGTTAACATGTATTATAATATAATATAATATGCAGTTTATAAATGTATCAAACAATAATTCAAAGATGGGAATTGTATCCTAACATTCGATTATTTGAAAAATCTAGCAACGACTATTAACCTCATCTTATTAGTCCAAATATTTTAATTTTGATACATGCAGATACCGGCATAATGACTAAAACTCTGAGCCACTTTGGACACGCACCATTTGATTAACGCATATCATTACCAACATAGTATGCCCTAACCTTTATGTATATGTTCTATCTATCGATTATTATTTATTTCTAAAGCCAGATTACTATTGGATCGTATAGAATGAGTGGAACCATTGAAAAAAAAGCATCAAATTATGACGCCTTCAAATGGATTACTGGGATTAACTATGTAAATTATATGTATAATATTATATTGCTTTAGATTTTTGATATATTTCTTCATGGTGCATTTTTTTTCTTCGGATTCTTGGTATATATTACATTATATGTATATGCAAATATGAGAAATGTATTTGTTTACTATGATTTTTAATACCAATAGAACAATTTATTTTTAAATTGGACAATATTTTTGGTACATTAGAAGTATGTAGTGTTAYTTAATTAGTGATCACCTTTTTACATTCTCCTCAGATTTTCACTACWCCTGTACATATTATTTATTCTACAGCGTGATAAAAATACACGTACATARTATAGTACCTATAATAAATCATGTATTACATACATCATCATTCATCTCCGTCGAGTAAAAAATGGACAAATTTAATGAAATTAAACATTTTCTAGTTAGCATTAAAAAAAAACATTAAACAACATACAGTTATTTTATTTTTGTGTTATAATGTTTTATATACACAACATATAGGCAGTTTACCTATGACTATAAATTATAATTAATAATTTAACAAACTATATCAGGTAAAATTAGTATTATAGATAATTAATAGATTGGGTGCACGAAATATAAATTAATTTTATCGGTCATAACCCATAAGTATTATACTTATACATATTATAAGGTAATTATTATTATCATTACTTATGATGAAAATCAGAAAATGTGATATTGTTATCAAAAATATCAGTGCATAACCAATAACCCGTCTTAATGTCCTCATCAGCTATACTGATATTGTGCGATGATTTAAGTAAGATGACAAATGTTTTGTTAAAAATAACAATTTAAAATACATCTATATTTGTGTAGATAAAAGGAATGAGTTATAGAATGGTCTACACAAATTGAAAATAATATAATATTCAATACGAAACTAAATTTAACATCACAAACATCGAAATCTCTCTGTAACCGATAAACTGAATAATAATAATATGAAAAACAATAGATTTATCAATATTATTTTATTTATAATAGTATGAACATATTATTCCAGAACATACATAATAAATAATACAAAATATATAAACATGATTAACTCGATCAAAATTAAAATCGAATATCAAGATAAATTAAAATAATTATTTAAAATAATAACGTCGTATATCAAATTAATTGGAAGACTGTGTTTTTATAATCACTTTACTTAAATTGATGTAATATTATGTTTAATATACGCATACACTATGACCCGCGTGGGCAGAAAAGCATTTAAAATAAATCGACATATTATTATTGTTACGTTCTAAAATAATAAAAAAACAATACAATTTTCTGATATGTATATTAATAATAATATGTAGTATGTCGTAACCTATACTATATAACAATTTATCATTTTAAATTAGAATAGAAACCTTTATTCTAGATTTTTTTCATGCTTTTTTTCTTTTATTCTTATTTTGTTCTCTTCATTTTTTTATAAAAATCTTTATTCTAGAACTCTAAATGATTTCCAAATAAATTAAAATAAACTACCTATGTTAAATACTTAATACATGATAATAGGAAAATAAAATGTTTGATGAATTATGTAATGATTCATAGTTAGGTAGATATTTAGAAATGTAAATTACAGGTACTTAGTTCACAAACTCTACCTAAATCTGTCTTTTTAAACCTTTATATTATAATATATTTTGTRTTCTTGTAGATGACGTGCTATTATTCTTAATTACATTACAAATAGGCAACCAAACTTACTACAATTATCACATCATTATTGTGTTTTGTTATACTTCCAGTATCTACATCAAAACTAAACACAATATACCTACACACATTATGAAACTATTAATAAATAATATATTTATAGCTCTACTTTCCTAAATTTCCTAACTATTATAACTAGATGATATCAAAGTATAGGTATATATACCTGTACACCTGTTCGAATTTCGTTAATTATTAGCTTATTTTGCAAATATATCAATGTTTCTAGAAAAAATACCTAAGTTCTTTACCAAAACCTAAAAATAAAACAGTTTTTCCCTCAAATAAGACAATAATATAAATATTAAGTACCCTTTTCTACAATTATTTTCTTCGTCATTAGCTTAAATTTCGTTAAATTAACTTGTATGAGCTGTAAATAGTTTCTGTAGGCAATTTATGATTATCGACAATTAAACGCGATTTGAACGAAAAAGTTAATATAGAAATTACCAACATCATATTTATTTATTATTTATTAATGATAATTAACGTGTGGGGCTCTTTAAATACAATATAGATAGGTAAATAGGTAATACATTTAAATTCGAGTAAATAATAGGAAATACATACTAATACCAATGATAAAAATAATAATGTTTAAAAATATAACAACAAAAAAATAAAAGATTTTAAGATAGTAAACAGTAAGGATAGTTAGATTAAAAAGGAGGGATCCTCGTTGGCGATGGACATTATGCGTCTTAATAATGATTCATTTTTCATGTAATTATACTTTTGTAGTGAAAAATATAGAGATTGGCATATAGATGTTCAGGTTGAAAATTGAAGAACTTTAAATTATATAAAGGATAAAAGAAGAGAGAGACAACAATATTAGATAAAAGTAAAAAGACCTTTTAGGAAAGACTTACTTAACATCCGCCTACGGTCAGCTAGGGCTTGAAGGTCTAGAATTTTAGTGAATGGAGAGTAATCATGTGGGGGACCTGGATAGTCAAATTGCACTTATTACCTACAAACAAATGGTCGAATTGCACTTGGGTTTAAAAAAGGTAATGGTCGGAACTGCACTCGGGTAAAAACCAGGTAGTGGTCGAACTGCACTTGGGCTCAAAAAGTATTTCAATATAATTATCATGCATTTCAAGAGGTTAGGGCTAACGTTCATTTTTCTTCCCACTTACAGGCTTAGGACTGACAATGATTTTAATCATTGGTGGTTAAATATGATTGTTTTAAACATCACATTATGTTAATTATATATATTTGCATTATAATAAATTATAATATTATATTATATTATACTATACATATTATTATTGTTATCAAACATTTTTTTTTTTAATCGTTAAATTTAATTATTGTCATTACTTATTATAAATATTTTTTTTGTCATTTCGATCATTTTTTGTAGTAATGACTAACTGTATTCAAAAATTCTAGCCTGGTAATACGCTTTTGAGTATTAAGTCGATATATTTTTTAATATTATTTATTTTTTTCTGGTACCGTGTTGTTGATGGTCTTGTGTCAATGTTCTGCGTTAAAATKTAGGTGTCGATTTGTAATWKTGTTAAAACATCAATGAAAACAAATATATTTGGATGTGGTGATGAAAATGATTTATTAAACTTCGCGTGGAAAGCCTCATATTTGAGCTTAAAATATAATATAATATAAAGTATAATATAATAATTATAGGGAAATGAGTGTTTACTAAATGTTTAACCCCTTCAAATGCATGATAATTTTATTGAAATACTTTTGAGCCCATGTGCGGTTCGACCACTACCTGTTTTTTACCCGAGTGCAGTTCGACCATTACCTTTTTTAAACCCAAGTGCAATTCGACTAAAATAAGTGCAGTTCGACCATACCCGTGGGGGACATTKAATGCCTTAAGTGAAACTTAAAATACTTTAAAAATGTACGTTGGACTCTTTCAACATGCAAAGAGCTATTACGGATTCCAAATTTATTATTAAACCGTACTATAAAAATACCTATGTAAATATGTGTCTCACTAAGGTCTCAGGTACAGCATAACGTTTTTACAGTGTTAATTTAGGAAAACTCTTTATTTAGTCTCATTACGAATCTAAGAGTTTTTAACGCCTTTCAGCATATATTATATAACACTTAGTCTAGACATTCGTTTAAGAACACCAATCAATATATTCGTAATAAAACATAATACAAAAAATAAAAACTCATAAAT